TTTGAACCCGCCACCTTAGGTGTACGTGGCTGGCGCCTTAGCCGGTTGAACTATAGGTGCCGAGCCTGTGTGTTCACTTTTTAAGCTTGGAACTCATCAGCGTGCTTTTCTCTTCACAGGGCATCCAGTACCTGACTGCGCTGGAAAGTCTCAACCTTTACTACAACTGTATCTCCTCATTGGCAGAAGTCTTCCGGCTCCACCCCCTGACTGAACTTGCAGACGTGGACTTCCGCCTGAACCCCGTTGTGAAGAATGAGTCCGACTACCGCCTGTTCATCGTGCACATGCTCCCCAAACTCCGACAGCTGGGTAGGTTCCAGGTAGGCGCTGGTGTCCTTGCTTTGTGCAGTCTCAACCAGCGTCATGTGCTCTCAGATGGATCATATGATTCCTGCCCGAAGGGAAGTTGATCTCCTGCCTTGATGTCTTGAGTCCCTGCAGACACATAGCTCTAACAGCCCCATCCTCACAGGATGGGCAGCAGGGCTATGAATCCCCAATCCTGCACACCTCTCCCCTTGAGCTGTTGGACTTGGCACACCCGAGCTTCTGCCCTGCTCCTCTACCAGCAGCTGGGCATCCTTACCAGGTTCAGCTGGACAGCTGGGCTCTACCTGGCTTTGCAGCCAACTGGAAAGACAGAGAACAGGCAGTTTATTGTGTCCCCAGGTGGCCAGGATAAGAGAGGACAAAGTTTAGTGACCACTTTGGCTTCACAGCCTCATACTCCTAAAAGACAAGGGTCAGTGGTGGTCTTAAAGGCAGAGCTTCCAGGGCCCCAGAGCCATGCCCTGTAGAGAGGGTTTTGGGTTTCCAGGGTCACAGTCACATTCCTGTCTACTTCTGACTCATCCTGGCTAGGAGTACTATGGCAGGGTCTCTGCTAATCGCAGTCTGAGCTGACTCTAAGCCCCAAAGCATACCATCCACAGGGTCTGTGGGGAAGGAGAGGGCTTGGGATCTCTTACTCAGGGTCCCACTTTAAGGTCACAGGGTGTTGTAAGGAGACGTGGTGTCACCATGTGTGAACTCCCAGGACAGCACCTGGAATGACCCAGGGCTCCTGGCATTCACAGGTATTTCCCTAGTTAGGGTCTGACCTGCTGCACCAGCATCGGGGCCTGATCCCTCCTCTGGCCAGTTATCAGAGAGTAAGAATCAACACAGCCCAAAACATGAGGCCCTCACTATAAATGTCCTGAACAAGCTTGTTTTCTGTGGCTATAGCCAAGAAGGCACCCAAGTACTTTTAGTAATTTTAAGCAAGTGGCAGCTTAGGTATATGTGGCGTGTGTGCAGGAGACCTGCCTGGCTCCTCCACGAACAGTGAGCTAGAAAGGACAAGGAGCAGGAGTTACATGTGAGTGGGCCTCACCTCGGAGCCATGGAGGCCTATCTGATGTCGGGCAAAAGCTGTGCACACCTGGCCTCACCTGTCCTTTTGCAGCCTCATCCTATAGGTGGGAAACAAGGTCTGCAAATAGCCTGGGACCTCGGGTGGGTGCTGAGGTGGGTGCCAGGTTGCCTGGGGGGCTCTGAGTGTGCAGTGTCCTTGTGCAGTCTGTGCATAGCACTCTAACTCTTACCCTGCATTGCTCTGCATCCAAGGAAGTGTCGGAGGTGCTGAGGAGAACTGCCCTGTGTGGTGACCAACCATCAAAACAGTTCTCCAACCTGAAACAGGCTTGAGGAACTAACAGAGGAACATGGGTCCTGGTGGGCTGCATGGAGCCGGGCAGGTGTCCTCTCTTCAGGAGCTTAGCTGCCCAGGGCTGTGGGGCTGGTGGGGAGCATGGTGCGAGCATCTGTGCCTTTCCTCCCCCAATGGCAGTATGTCTTCTGTTGCACGGCCCACTGCCTATCAGGAGCTGGGAAGGCAGGTGGGGTGTCTGTGCCCAAAGTGCTCACTGCCAAGGCTGCATGACTCCTGTCTGTGCTTGTCCTTCTTTGCACAGTGTCTTGGGAAACCATATGTAGCCACCAAAGCCTACATTTCCTTTCTTGGGCCTGTGGGGACAGGTGTCCTGGCAGGGGGAAGAGGGTGCTGCTGCCTGCCTTCCGCAGTTCTGGGCATTCTCCCCTAGATGACCGTCCTGTGAGAGCCAGTGAGAGGAAGGCTTCCCGTCTGCATTTTGCCTCGGAGGACTCACCTGGCTCAGAGGAGAGCGTCCCTACTGCTTTGACAGTTGGAAGGTATGAGCGGACATACATGGGCCCCACAAGTCTCTCAGCTGCCCCAAGCTGCTGTGTGCACTGCTATGCTCAGAGGGCAGATGTCAGAGAGGAAGGTAGAACACTGGATCTCAGCTCTTCTCTCCATTTTCCACACCCTCTAAAAGCCATTTTTACTATTTGAAGTGTTTATTAAAGTAACACGTGTAAGCTAGAGGAGATGAAGAGATCATGACAAGAAGCAGCGGCCGCCCTCTTCGGGCCACCCTCTTCATGCTGCTGACGTCTGTGATGCTGCCTAGGTTGCTGTGAGCTGCTTTCCCACCTTATAGCCAGATCCCTTTGGGAAGTGGGGGGAGCTGCCGGTTGTGGGGCACTTAGGCCTCCATAGGCACCTCCTCCCCTACCCTCCCAAGGCCTGAGACCATTTGGAGATGTCCCTTCCTGCCTCCCCCTGCAATGGACTGAATGTCATTGCAATAACCTTTAAATTTTAGAGCAATTTTACATCTATAGAAAAGTTGAGCAGAAGATATAGAGCAGGGGTGTCCAACTTGCAGCCTGCAGGCCACATGCTGATTTTGTGAAGACTTTTCTGCTTATCTGTGATTTCTGATATGAATAGTATGCATGGACTTTTTTTCTGCTCATCAGCTTTTTTAGCATTTGTATATTTAATGTGTGGCCCAAAACAACTCTTATTCTTCTAATATGTGGTAGAGGAGAAAATGGTTGGACAAGTCTGGTCTAGACCATGGGCATTTAAAGTGACTATCAATATAGTTAGATTGATATCTACCATATTTGTTAATGTTTTCTCTTTGTTGCACTTTTTCTTGGTTACTGTTTTTACCTTCTGCTCTTTTTTGCCCTTGTATCTATACATATATATATGCACATATATATTTTGAGACAGAGTCTTACTCTGTGGCCCTGGGTAGAGTGCTGTGGTATTACAGCTCACAGCAACTTCAAACTCTTGGGTTCAAGGGATCCTCCTGGCTCAGCAGCCTCTTGAGTAGCTAGGGACTACAAGCACCTGCCACAACGCCCGGCTAGCTTTTGTATTTTTGGTAGAGATGGGGTCTTGCTCAGGTCAGTCTAAAACTCCTGAGCTCAAGTGAACCTCTCGCAGCCTCTCAGAATGTTGGAATTATAGGCATGAGCCACCTCGCCCAGCCTGTATTTTTATTTTTTAATTAATTTATATTTTAAAGAGACTTTTAAGAGTCTGGCTCTGTTGCCTAGGCTATGGCACAGTCATAGCTCACTGTAACTTCAAATTCTTGGTCTCAAGTGATTGGCTCAGCATCCTGAGTAGTTGGGACTATAGGCACCTGACATCACACCCAGCTAATTTTTAAAAATTTTTTTGTAGGCTCGGCGCCTATAGCTCAACCGGCTAAGGCGCCAGCCACGTACACCTAAGGTGGCAGGTTCGAATCCTCAGCCTGGACCCACCAAACAGCAATGACGGCTGCAACCAAAAAATAGCCGGGTGTTGTGGCGGGCGCCTGTAGTCCCAGCTACTTGGGAGGCGGAGGCAGGAGACTCACTTGAGCCCAGGAGTTGGAGGTTGCTGTGAGCTGTAATGCCACTCTATCCAGGGGGGACAGCTTGAGGCTCTGTCTCAAAAAAAAAAAAATTTTTTTTGTAGAAGCAAGTTCTCACTATGCTGTCTAGGCTGGTCTCAAACTGCTGGCCATAAGCAGTCTTCTTGCCTCAGCCTCCCAAAATCCTAGGATTACAGTATGAGCCATTGTGCTCAGCCCTTGTTTTAAATGAACATTTTTTTTTTAAATGAACATTTTAAGTGATTTCATTTTCTCTTCTTTCTTAGCATGTCAATTGTAGTTGACCCTCAAACAACATAGTGGTTAGGGGTGCTGACCTTTGAAATTCTGAGTTTAAGTGTTGACTCTCTAAAAACTTAACTACTAATGAGCTACTTGTGACTAGAAGCCTTACTGATAACAGGAACAACTGATGAACACGTATTTGGCATGTTACATGTATTAGCTGTGTATTCTTACTGTAAAGTAAGCTAGAGGAAGGAAAATGTCATTTAGAAAATTATAAGGAAGAGACAAGTATACACACAGCACAGTGCTGTGGCTGTCGGAGCTGTACAGTCACTCTGTTTAGAAGGAGAATCGTCTGTCTGGAGTGGCAGCTTTCACTGCTACAGACCTCACTCTACTGTACATGTCACGGAATACAGCTTTTTCATATAATGTCATTGTGTTTGGCTTCTGAGAGCACTTCCAGCATGACCGGTGGCAGTCTGTAAGGGTCCCATGATGTTGTTTACAGGTGATGAGAATTTATGGCACCCTCTGGGCACTTTGTATTGCAGTATGCAGTTTGCTGAAAGACAAGCTGTGTGAACGTGGTCAGCATGATGGGTCAGCTAGGACTGGAAATCCCTGAGCTCACCATAGCAGTGACAGGTGGCAGTGAAATTATTACAGTAAGACAGCATGTACCAGTTAATTTTTATGATTTAATACAGCAGCTTTACATTTGTTTACATTTCTCTCAGCTGCAAATGATGCCGTGTGTAAGTTTTGATAAATTTTAACTTTTTATAATAGATTCATGTATATTATCTGTTAATAAATGATAGAATAGTATCTACAAGTATTTTATGAATTCATTACATACCTAACTATTAATGTTTGGACATTTCTAGGCATTTTGTCCATGAAGTTTTTAAAATTGTTGCATATCTCAAAAAATTTTTCCAATATAATTATTTTTTAAAAAATCCATGCATAAGCACCTATTGTCCCAGCTACTTGGAAGGCTGAGGCAAGAGAATCACTTAAGCTCAAGAGTTGGAGGTTGCTGTGAGCTGTGACACCATGGCACTCTATCGAGGGCTACATAGTGAGACTCTGTCTCAAAAAAAATAAAAGAAAATCCATGCATAAGTGGGTGTGCTCAGTTCAAACCTGTGTTGCCCAAGGGTCAACTGTATACTTCTTTTTTATTATTTGTTTTTACCTTTTTTAGTGGTTGCACTAGAGTTTGTAGTATACATTTGTAAGCAGTCCAAGTCCACGTGCAGTAATGCTGTACCACTTCACAGGACTGCAGGTACTATAACAAAAGTTGTCTGATCCTCCCCTCATCCCTTGGGTGATTGCTGTCTTCACTTCAGTTCCACATGAGTTAGAACCATGTAAGCCATTGTCAAATACCCTGTTGCTGTTATTAGTTTGAACAAAGCTGTTACCTATAAAACCTTAAGAATGAGAAAAAGTTTTCATTTATGCTCACTTATTCCTTCTCCTGTGCTCTTCCTTTCTAAATGTAGATCTGAGTTTCTGACCTAACCAGCTTCCTTCTCTCTAGAGGACTTCTTTTAATGTATTTTGCAAGGCAGTTCTAAATTAGCAACAGATTTTGACAGTTCTGAAGGATAATTTTGCTGGATACAGAATTCTAGGTTGGTGTATGTTTTTCCTTTCAACACTTGGAATAGTTCACTCCACTCTCTTCTTGCTTGGATGCTTTCTGTGGAGAAGTCTGATAGAGTTCTCTTGCGCCTCTGTAGATGAGGTGGTGTTTTTCTCTCTGACTTCAGAACTTTGTCTTTGATTTTTTGTAGTTTGAGTATGGTACACCGGCTGTCCATTTTTTAGTATTTGCCCTTCTTGGAGCTCTTCCTTGGTATTGTCTGCATGGAAGCCTCTTTGCATCTTTGACTCCACAGTGAGTCTTGTACAATCTCTGCTTTTTAATTGGGTGTCCCAAAGTTCAATTATGTTTCGACACTGACTACCTGGATTTCGTGTCAACAGGTTTAAGGACTCAGTCCGAGACCCCCCACTGCAGATGCTATCAGGTTGCCTACACTTCACTCTGACTTGTGTGGGGTTCAGTTGCTGCCTAATATGGTTTTATTCCAGCCAGAAGGAGCCCTTTTGTATTTCTTCCTCTATCACAGGTCTGCTGGTAGCAAATTCTTTATTTTTATATGACTAGGATGTCTTTCTTTTGAAAGGCACTTGTGCTGGATATAGGATTCTTGGCTGACAGGTTTCTCTTCTTTTCAACACTTCATCTTTGGGCCTCCATGGTTCCGATGAGAAATTGGCTACTAACCTTGTTGAGGCACCTGGCACATGGCAGGCTGCTTCTGTCTTGCTGCTTTCATGATTTTCTCTGTGTCTTCTGACAGTTCAGGAACAATATGTCAGTGTGGAACTTTTGGATTTTATTCCCTTTGGAGCTGAGTTGAAAGTGTAGATATTTAGAACAAGCTGAAGCAAAGCACTTTTCTGCCCTACTCACACACCCAGAGCGGCACAGGAGTGTTTCTCCACACATACTGGTGCTGCTGTGGCAGCTCTGGGTGTCCTCTGATTCAGCTTGTTCCTGACTCTGTCTACCTGGGGATGGAGGTGGATCCCACAGGTTGAGGGCTCAGTCCCGCAAGACTGCACCAACTTCAGATGCCAGTGGCGACTCATGGACTGTCATCTGTACATCTGACTGGCTATAAGTTGCAGCCCCATGACTTCCTGCTTTGGATTTGACTAATTTGCTGGCACAACTCACAGAACTCAGGGAAATATATCACCTGTGTTGGACTTTTTTTTTTTTTTTTTTGAGACAGAGCCTCAAGCTGTCCCCCTGGGTAGAGTGCCGTGGCATTACAGCTCACAGCAACCTCCAACTCCTGGGCTTAAGCGAGTCTCCTGCCTCCGCCTCCCAGGTAGCTGGGACCACAGGCACCTGCCACAACACCCGGCTATTTTTTGGTTGCAGCCGTCATTGTTGTTTGGCGGGTCCGGGCTGGGGATTCGAACCCGCCACCTTAGGTGTACGTGGCTGGCGCCTTAGCCGGTTGAGCTATAAGCACCGAGCCTGTTGGACCATTTTTTGAAAAGAGCATCACAGACAAAGAGCGAGGTGGAGGAAACGACCAAGGCAAGGTGTGCGGGAGGGAGGGAAAGAGGGCTGCAGAGCTTCCATCCCCAGACCTCCACAGGCTCGACTCTGGACCCAGTCCTGGTGGGTTTTTATGGAGGTTTCATTACATGGACATGATTGATTATGTCACTGGCCATTGGTGATCAACTCAACCTTCAGCCCTTCTTACCCACAACTCCACCCCAAGGTTGGGAGCTGCTGAAAGTCCCGGCCCTCTAATGCTGCCTTGGTCCTTCTGGCAACCAGCCCCCCATCATGAAGCTTTTATTTAAGCATACAAATGACACTTAGGTTACTCTGGAGATTCCAAAGGTTTTCTGAGCTGGAAACAGGAAGACCAAATATATGAGGTCATTTAAGTTCACAAACTCATCCTAGAGAAAGTGCTACATACCTCATTGATAGTATCACTATGGTCACCTTCAAAGTGCTCCCCTTGGCCACCTGGTGACCATAGTGATATTTAGCCATGTGGTAGGTACATAGCAGTTTTTCCAGGATGAGTTTGAAAACTTAATTGTTAGACCTCATACAATGACAGCTCTGATGGTCATTCCAGAAAAAGAACTCCGGAATTACTGTGAAGAGTGGATTAGGTGCAGGCGCCTGTGCACAGTTTCCTAAGGGCAGGGTGACCTTGGTGACGCTCAGCAGTGAGGGATACAGCATGGTTTCCAGGATGAGTTCTCAGACCTAACTGTCCAACGTTGTACATGTACATCTCACAATATCACAGCAGACTAATGTTTTTCATCAAGTTTGGGAAATTTTCAGCCATTATTTCCTTCAGTAATCCTCCTGCTGCTTTTTTTTCTCCTCTGAGCCTCCCGTTATGTTTGGGGGGCACTTGATGATGTCCAAAGGTCTTTGAGACTGTTCATTTTTCTTTATTCTGGTTTTTTTTTCCCCCTATTCCTCAGGCTGGAAGCTTTCAATTAACCTATCTTAAAATGTACTGATTCTCCTGCCTCCTGAAATCTTTTACTGAACAGTTCTAGTGAATTTTTCATTTGGTTGTACTTTTTAGGCCCAAGATTTGTCTAGAAAGCCTACTGTCTAGACTTTTTCAGGTACAGTTTCTGTTGATTTTTTTCTGTTTATGGTCCATGCCTTCTTGTTTCTTTGTATTCTTTTTAATTTTTTGTTGATAACTGGACTTTTTATTTTTATTTTTATTTTTTTTGAGACAGAGCCTCAAGCTATCCGCCTGGGTAGAGTGCTATGGCATCACAGCTCACAGCAACCTCCAACTCCTGGGCTCAAGCGAGTCTCCTGCCTCCGCCTCCCAAGTAGCTGGGACTACAGGCACCCGCCACAACGCCTGGCCATTTTTTGGTTGCAGCCATCATTGTTGTTTGGCGGGCCCGGGCTGGGGATTTGAACCCGCCACCTTAGGTGTATGTGGCTGGCGCCTTAGCCGCTTGAGCCACAGGCGCCGAGCCTGGACATTTTTAATATTAAAATGTGGCAAGGCCGGAAATTGGGTTCTCTTTGAGATCTCCCCGCTACAAGAGGCTGCTGTGTGCTGGGCTCAGCCAGGCAGTTCCTAGCTCAGCTTTCTCCTGCGCTTGCAGCTCCCACATAGCCTCAAGGTCAGGTGGCAAGCAGGCTCATGCCTTCTCAGGTCTTCTTGGCCATGTGAGTGGCTTTCTATGGTCCCAGGGGGACGTTGGAGCTTTTCAGGTCCTTTTTACCCTGGCTGCCGTCCATTGCTGCAGGCCACAGCCAGGACTGGAGCCTGTGAATCCTAATCTGCTAAAAGACTGCAGAGCAGAAGGGCTCCACGGTGCCGCTGCTTTTTGACCAGTCCTGCTGGGCCGTGCACTGCTGGGACAGGGTGCTGGCGCCACATGATCCTTGCTGTCCCTTGTCAGCTGTCCTGGTAGAGGGTAATGAGGTCCTTACACAGCTGCCCCAGAGTCTTCCTCCTCAGGTTCTTTGTGGAAGGAATGCACCGCTCGTCTAAGCGCTATTAATGGATTTACTTCTCCTTGCAGACCTCGCCATTCCAGAACTACGTGCCCTGATGCCTTGGCCAGGAAGTGCGCAGTCATGGACGCAGAGGATGAGGCAGTCCTGAACCTCATTGCCGAGTGCGAGTGGGACTTAAGCAATCCTCCTGGTAGCACAAGCTCGGGCCAGAAGGAGCATGAGGCCGATGTGCAGGGCTCCCAAGGTGTGATGCTCAGCCCTTGGGGATGGCCAGTGGGGGTAGGGTGTTAGTCTCTTGGCTGTAGCCTGCACAGTAGTGCTTGCTACAAGACCTGCCTTTAAGTATAGGATATTCGTGAAATCTTTGTGCACGTTTAAATGCCAGTAATTTGGACTATAGAATTACTACTTGTATAAAAGGAAAAGTTAATGTGTTTAAGTTGAGCATAGTCATACTGCATGGTTGTTAAAATTTTATTCTTCTGAGATCACGGGAAAAGGCGAAACATCTAAAGCAAATAGGAAAGTCAAGTGTCCTGTGGTGAGCGTGGCTGCTGTCCAGGTCAGCCACAAGGTATGACAAGGTAGCTTTTAGGAAACACTGAGCTCAAGCAGCCACATATGGACCTGAGGACCCACCAGGCCATGGTGAAGACTGTTCATTTGGTGTGACTTCATGTGCTCAGCCGAGAGCCTCTGCTTCTCCCTGGGATCTTGGCTTCATTCATTCCTGCTCCATGAGTTTCTGGCCCCAGATCTGCCTGTCAGCTCTGGCTCCTTTCTGGTGTTCATGGTTTTAATTTGTGTTTCTGTGGAGACTTGTTGAAATCCTGGCCATTTGTTTATTTTTGTAGCACTTCTGTTCACCTCTGCCTATCACTGTTGAGGGGCTGTTTCTCTTCTTGTTACTGAGTTGAAAGAGCTCTTTGTGGCTTTTGAATACTCAGACGTAAATACTGTGGATTTCCTCCCATTCTGTGGCTTGCTTTTTCATTTTCTTACCAGTGCTTCAAAGACCAGAAATTTTAATTTCAAGTCCTGTTTATGATTTTTTTTTCCTTTAATGATTTTGGCCATTTGTATCCTGTAAAGAGCTCTGGGTCTGCCCTGAGCTCCCAAGTCCAGGTGTGCAGTGTACTTGGTTGAATCCATTTTTGTGTGTTGGGAGTTGGGGGGTAAAGACCCCCACATGTGGTTGACCCTTCTCATCTGCTGGTTTTGCATCCAGAGGTTCAATCAACTACAGGTGGGAAATATTTGAAGTACATTAATACAATAATAAAAAAAACCCAAAGTAATACAGTATTAACAACTATTTACATGGTATTTACATTTTTTTACTTATTTATGGTAAAAAAAAAATTTTTAATGGGGTCTTTCTGTGTTGCCCAGGGTAGATTCTAACTCCTGGGCTCAGGTGATCCTCCCACGTCGACTGCTGCGTAGCTGGGACTACTTGCCTCTTGGTGTTACACTGTTGTCAGGGCTGTGAGCCACGTGAAGTGGTGTAATGCCCAGGTCATAGGCAGATGCTGTGCCATTCTACGCCAAGAACTTGTGGTGGTGTTGGGGTTCCTTGGAACCCATCCCCTGTGCACACTGGGAGTTGACCCTCTGTCCAGCTCTTCTCGTCTAATTACTTTGGCGAGTCTGTGAAAACCGCTTACCCGAGTCTTTTTCTGGACTCTGTCTCCTGTCTGGGGGTTGCCATGTCATCTTCCTACTGCCTCCCGCTGCCTGATCTCAGCAGCTTTGTGGTGGACAGTGTCAGCCCCCCAGCTCCCTCCCTCCCTCTGGAGCTGTGTAGGGCAACTAAGTTACTCATTCATCTTTTTCTTACTTGATCAATTTAAGGAAAACACACTTAACAGACATCATACACTATAAGATGCGTAAAAGGCAATGTTCAATGAAATAATACTGTTGGCGTGTTCTTTACTAACCTAGAATCCAGGCATCTACCGAGCCCTCGATCCATCCGGCACCAGTGTGGGGACAATGCTCAGCAGGGCCTGGAGAAGAAGGGCCGCCCCCGAGGTTGCTGTGCTGAAAGGCAGCTCCAGAGACAGCGCTGTGGGGAGCTGCCCCTGTTGTGTGGTGCAGTGCCAGGTGCTCACTGTACTTGTGGGCCACATACCCACCTTACCCCCCACTCAGGTAACCGCTGCTACAACTGGGTGCCCAGGGCGTGACTCACAAGGAAGTGGGCGCCAGCGTCTCTGAGGGTCGTTCTGTGCTGGCAGGCAGAAGAAGAAAAAGAAGAGACATTTAATTAAATGGGGCCAAACTGACCCACTCTTTCATCAGGAGCACCCTCCCATGCTGAGGATAGAGCGCTGTGACTTCCTACTACTGTCACAGTGCCTATTACATTTCCAACACGTGAACTTTGGGGGACATGTTCAATCCATGGCACACATGGAACCCCCATCATTTCCTTTGTAAGCAGCTAAACATTTGCTATTATTATGAAATTTCTCCTGTTCTCCTTTTAAGTCCATATTGTGGAACTCTGATGTGTCAGATCACAGATGGGTACATCAGAATCTGCAACACATCCCAGTTTTAGAGTCATAGTCTGTAAGAGCTCAGGTGCTTTCTGTGCATGTGCACACACCCCTGCCCCCACCCTTCGTCTGGCACATGCACATCCACTTCCTTATAAATGTACAGGCCAGGTCATTATAGTAGCTACATTTATAAATCAAAGGTGAGGAAGATTATGTCACATAATCTCACTGTGTGTTGAGAATACCAGGAAGCCTCCTGGCATACATGAACCTGGCACCTCCCAGAGGCAAGTCCACACCCTTGAGCATAGGGAGAACAGTCAGATGGTGACCTGCCAGACTCCATGGGCCATGTTGGGGGTACCTGGACCTAAGGTTGTGGCTGAGGCCACCCTCTTCCTTTCATTATCCTTCCCTAGACAGGGTCACTCGTGCCCTGTATCCCACACCTCCTGGGGGCACAGTGGTCAACAGAGTTGCATTGTTTTCAGAATTTATCTGTCACCTCTCTTTAGAAATGCACAGGTGCTAATGGTATTTAGAGCTCTTCATGGAGGCACTGTCCACGTGAGGTAGCCAAGGGAACATGCCTCTGAAAGGCTATCCCAACAGAGCAGTGGGCTTCTTGTCTGCTTCTTGTAGATGCCTGTATTCATGCCTCATGTGGGTGCCATTATGCCCTTCCCTTCCTGCCTCCTCACTTGCCCCTCCATATGCAGGTGCACAAGTGTGTGTGTGCACGTGTGTTTCTGTGTGTACATGCCTGTGTATACATATGTGCAGTGCATACATGTGCTCGTGCTTGCCAGTGGGTGCATATGTGTATCCATGTGGATGTGGCACGTACACACCTTCTAAAAGTTGTGATACTGGACACTGAGCCCAGAGAATTTGATCTAATGAAGGCATGGTCCTTGATATTACAGACTCAGTGGACATTGAGGACTCAGCCTCATCTTCACAGAAATCAAGTGTGTCCATACGGAAAGTGCTACACCCTTTGCCTGGCTGTGAAAAGTATAGGAAGCGAAGAATGCCTGGTGGGAAGTTCCAGGAGCCCTCAGATCAGGAACATCTGCGCTGCCTGGAGACTGATGGGCTGTCCAGCACCAGGGAGAGTCTTAATAGACAGAATGGCTCAGAAGGCAGGAGCGAGAGGACCTTCTCATCAGGAACAGGAGAGCAGCGGTGTCAGGGCATGGCCAATGCCAGGGAGGTGAGCAGAGGGCAGGGACAGCAGCAACTGTCCCAGTGTCAGTGTGTGGCTCAGCAGTGTCATGTTGTGGCTGATGCCAGGGAGGTGAGCTGAGGACAGGGGCGGCAGCAACTGTCCCAGTGTCAGTGTGGTTTAGTGGTGTCAGAGTATGGCTTATGCCAGAGAGGTGAGTGGAGGGCAGGGATGGCAACAGCTGTCCCAGTGTCTATGTGGCTATTAGCTGCTCGTCCTCAGTGTTTATCACTTCTGCACTGGCAGAGGCTTGCCCTGTGCCCCACCTGCCTCCCACGGTGTTTGTTTGAGATGGAAGCCTCGAAACTGGTGGGGGGGAGGACTTGCCCATCTCATTGGTCATCTCAGCCAGCTAGAGCTCTCAGTGGCCCTATCTTGAGGGGTGAGTCCTGGAGATGCACCTATGGTTTTCCAGAGAGACTCGAGGCCGTGCAACAGCCCCTCTACTGCCTCTGCCACCTGGCCCTGCTGGAGACTCAGTGAAGGCCACCCTGAGGAGGCCAGCCGGGGTCTGATCACTCAGTGCTTGCAGGAGCAGACAGACTTACAGGCGGGCGGAAGAGCGATGAGCGAGGAGCAGCTGCAGGTGCACCACCGGTGGGAGGCATGGAGTACTGGGGCTGGCTTTGATCTTTTGGGCTGTCTACAGCTGGAGGCTCCAATTGAGTAATGGCCACTAGGTGGGCACAGTGTTCTAGGCCATCACGGACTTCCTGGACTACTGCTCAGCACACGGCTGGGCGGGGCGACTTGCTGCGGGTTCTCTGCTGACACATGTCTGGCCTCAGTCTGCAGGTGCCCTTGCCTCTCGATGGCCTGAGGGAGGCAGGAGGGGCCTGCTAGAGGGATGCCTGTGCTGGCTTTGCCCCATCCTACCATCTACTCCCTGGCTTTAGGACGGGCTGCTGAGCACCCCTCCTGGGGTGCAGGGCTATAGTCTCTCAGCCCCTTTGCCCCTTAGGCTGAGGATGTGAGCGTGTCTGGGGTGTATTCACCAGTGTTAGAGGCCTTGCTTTACACAGGATCTGCCTATTCCATGATTTTGTTTCTAGTTATCTCCCAAATCGCGCCCTGTCGCTGTGCCTGGGGAGAAGGCTGCCCGGGATGAGGCGTTCCTGGGGGCGCTCCTAGACCTAGTAGACAAGCACTGGGGTGGCTGCAGATCACTGCACAATAACACCGTTTTCCTTGGTGAGTAGGCACCCCGCACCCAGCCCCATAAGCCCTGGTGTTTGTGTGTGCACTACCTGGGGCTGTGAAGATGGCATCTCTGCCCAGGCGCCCTGCTGGGCTATGGGAAGCAGCCTGTTGTCTCAGTTTGGAAAATGCTGCCCCCAGGTGCCTGGTTAAAGTGTGGGGATTTGCTGCTGGGTCTCCTCCCAATGTCCCCTGCATGCTGCACTTGCGCAGGCCCTGGGCTTGCGGAGCAACAACTTGGGGCCTGGAAGGATCATCCCCCACAGAAAGGACCTGATTGCTTCTGGCAGGCAACTGAGGAGGGGCAGAGCAGGGTCTCCCTCCAGGGCCCTGCTATGTGACCAGAATACGCTGTGTCCCCCGCACTACCTTCTGTCTACAGCCTAGGCGTGGCTGCTAGTGTCCCTTGAGAGTCAGGCCTCTCCTGCTCACTGGTCCATGGCAGATGCTGGGTACCTCTCTGGGCTCCCCCTTGGCTACCTGGATGTCCTGACTGTGCCACATGTCAAGGCCTACAGCTCCCTCTCAAATTGGGATCCTGGCCTTATAAACTGTTGGGACCTAAATCATCACTAAGAGACCACCATACACACATGTAAAAGCAAAAGAATACCTTTATTCAAGCAAATGCCTGGGTCACTCCACTCTACAGCGTAGCTGTGGAGAGGCAACCCCAAAGTGAAATGAGGGGAGATTTTAAAGCGAATAGAGGAATTTCATCGGGCGTTTTGTCGGGAAGGGGTTACCCTTGGCTGAGCTGTTGTCTAGGGGTGCTTGGTACTACCTGATATGCCAGGGGTGTTATAGGGTGGGTTTATGGTTAGGGACTTCCCAGAGAAGGGTTGCCTGTCTACTTCTGATAAGCTGGCTCCCCCTGGGCTGATCGGCCTTGCTCAGAAGTGCGGAGGAGGAACGCCTGTCCCCTTCTGATAGGCTGGTTCCACCTGGGCTGATTGACCTGGTCCAGAAGGGGTGTTGCTGTGGTTTCTCCTATAACGAGTCTGAGTTCTAAAATGGAGTCTTACAAAAATGGAGTTACATTGGCCTCTTCAAAACCTTCACCCTCTCATCAGGGCAGGTGTCAGGAAGGGGCTTCCTGAGCTGTTCTGGCTGGCCTATTGTCCAGGCCGCTGTCCCTGTGTGGCATTGCCAGTTGTGGTTTACATGACAGGTCTCAGGTCAGGTGCCATCTGTGTCTACAGAAGGTGTGGCAGCTGCTGCACACCCCATGTCCTCCAGAGGTGGCTGTCCTTGTAAGCAGCCTTCTCTTCTGGGTCCTTTCTGGAGTCAAAGCCATTTCCTCCCCACCCGCCCATCCCTGGAGCAAGCGGGCTTTGTGGCACAAGTTTGCAGGCCACACATATTCTGTGTGATTCAAAATGTATTGAATATACTTTGTTTATATTTATTTTACTCTTTAAATATTAATGCTGTAATAATGTTTGGCTTTTACTCCTAGCTCAGGCAAGACACATTTTGTCATCTGTGCAAGAGTTTACAGTGGCTCCAGACAGCTCCAGGGCTGTGGGTGGGGAAACCAGCCACCTGGCTGTGGAGAACGAGGCCCTGCACAGCCGCCTGGCGGAGCTGCAGCAGCAGCACAGTGCACAGATGGGCGCTATGACAGCGGAGCTCAGCCACACACACAAGGAGATGGTGAGCCATGCTGTGCCATGCCTACGTGCACCAGTGAAAACCAGTTTCACTTCACTTAGTAGGCAAGGGCCACCACATGACCCTGTGCCACCCCCAGCTGCCATCAGCTCTGGTACCATGTGTCTCTGGTGCCCAGGGCTCTGCCGGGCACAGCCTGCTCTGCTCCACTCCCAAGCCCCCTAGCGCTTGACTCAGAGCTGGCAGTGTTGCTGCTGCTTGGAGGGTGGGCAGGAGTCTGGAGCACAGCTGAGGCTGTGGCCGCAAGTCCTGTGTGCCCTGAAGGGCCCTTCCTACAAGCTGGGGCCTGTGCTAGGCCTGGTCTGGTTTCCCCACTAGCCTGTCATGATGGGGGTTATGGTATTTCAGACTACTGACATATTCTCCTTCTGCTTTACTAAGCCAGGGTCCCATGGTTAAGTGTCTTGGCTGTGGGGCTGCCAGCCAGGTCCACCGGGCGGGGCACTAAAGCCCTCGAGGTATGCTGTCCATGGCTGCATAGCAGATGGCCCCATAGTGAGTGGCCTAAAGCAGTGCTCACTCAGCACCAAGGGCTCTGTGGGACAGGGCTATGAGGCTGGCTGCAGTCCACCTGGGGGCGGGGTTGTCCCCCCAGGCTCACTCCCAAGAGGTCTTGGCTCTGGCAATGGCCTCTCACAGGCTGCCAGAATCCTCAGGGCATAGGGCTGGTGGTCAGAGAGAGCAGTACCCAAATGGAGGCTGCAGCCTTTGAGACCAGACTTGAGGGTGCCTAGTCCCTTCCGTGGGGCAGGCCCTGCCCAACCAGCACCTGGGGGGTCTATGGACCACTTGCAGATGGCTTAAAAAACTTCTGAAATTGTCTGACAAGTGTTTACTGCCATTCTTCCATGAGACCCTACCTTTCAGAAGTCCCACAGAAAGGTTCATTGTTAGAGAAAAAGAAAGTGCAATGACACAGCAGCCTCTGGTACTTAGGCCTCATGAGTGCCCCGGATCACAAATGGCAGAATAAGTAATGTCATACTTAGGATGTCTTCTGCAGGAGTGTGGACCCATGGGGCACGCATGGCCATGAATGAGAAAGCAGAGGATAGTGCCTGCCAGGCTGAGAGTGCCCCGGATCACAAATGGCAGAATAAGTAATGTCATACTTAGGATGTCTTCTGCAGGAGTGTGGACCCATGGGGCACGCATGGCCATGAATGAGAAAGCAGAGGATAGTGCCTGCCAGGCTGGGTGTAGACACGCGGGCCCAGCAGATACCGCCTCCTGCACCCTCTGCATGTTCTGACGAGCTGTATCGCAGAAGGCAGCCTCAGGCCATAGGACAGGAGCAGCCCTGGGTCTTTTGTCCAGGCGAGTGCTCCAGAACACTGGCAGCCTCAAGCCTTGCTGTTCCAGGGCCACCTGTTGACCCCATCCTATGGAAAAAGTGGTCAGCAGAGCATGGCAGGAGTTCTGTGTGGCAGGTGCTGCCCCGGGGAGTTGCCTCTGTCATTCCAGAAGCATCAGTTGTCATGCCCAAGTCTGTTCCCCAAGGTGAAGATGTTCATTCCTTCTGTGCTGGTGGGAGCCTGGGCTCTGCTGCTTTGGCAGCTGCTGTCATGTCTCCTAAGGGGAAGGTGGAGGCCGCACTCCCAGCTGTGTGTTCTGGGCATGGCCCCAGGGCAGACATGCACAGTCTATTCACGGCTACCTATCCCAAGCATTGCTGACTTTAATTACAAGCCAGGAGCCCGGGACTCTGTTTCTCAGAGCTTACCTCCATGAGATGTTCTGGTCACGCAGAGCCCAACAAAGATGGTAGAAGGTGTAAACCAGCCTCAAGAGGAAGCAGCTGGAGGAGGAGACCTGGGAATTTGAAAAGATGGGCCTGAGAAAAATGATCTTGGGTCCAGCTTTCACCACAGACTTCAAGGGACCTTGTAGGCGTGGGGCCCGTCAACAGGGGGACTTGCCAAATGAGAGCAAGGCAAAGGCTTCTGGACGTGTGTGCTCACGTTGAGTGGAGCCTCAAGGCACTGCCCCCCCCCACCCCCCCGGGTGGGAGCAGGTGGGGTCTTCCCAGAGCCCAGGCCCCAGATGTGCCTGCTGCTGCCTGGAGGGTACAGGCAGGTGACACTGTGGATCCTTAGGACTCTGGCTGCAGCTGTAGGCAGCTTGGATGGTCCCTTGTCACCAAGACTCCTATGCTAGGGCAGGAGGAGGTCCAAGGGAGGGGCTGGCCTGGACAGTGGCCATGGTGTCCTCCCTGCTTTTAACATCTCACTGTGTGCTCAGTGTTTTCTTCATACTTTGCGGGCAGTAAAAGGGCCCAACCACAGTTCCCCTCCTATATGGGGGCACAGCCCACAGTGACTATGGGGCCTTCTTGGAATGGACAAGTCTCAGCCAGCCACCAGCAGCTGCACCCATGCCTGGCAGGGAGACTCTGAGTGTGGTTTGTCTCACAGGAGCTGGGACCCTGTCTCCCTACCCCGCCCCGCTCCCGCCCCCAAGGGTGCTGCTGCCCTGCAGGGAGCTGCATGGTGAGGTGCGGGTATTGCTCTCTCAGCACAATTCAGAATGATGGAAAAGGAAACAAACTGTGGGGATTATTAGAAAGTTTCATTTTACTTCGTATATGCATTTTACTGAATTTAACTTGTGTATTTTAAGTGTATTTTATATGTCCTTAGGGTGACTTGAGACAACATTTAGGCAAATCTTTGGAGGAGAATAGTAGCTTGAAATCTCTTTTGTTCAGCATGAAAAAAGAAGTAAAAAATGCAGATGCTTCAGCTACATTAAGTTTGCAGATCACTGGTAAGTTTATAGTTTATTTGGTCAGTGGACAGATAGACTGGGTTTTAAACTGTGAACTTATTACAAATACTGTTTCTGAGTGAAATCTAAGCCCCTCCCTCCCTGGCTGCTGTGAAGGCTGCCTTGCTGTGTGTTTGTGGAGCATGTGTGTTTAGAACATGTGTATGTCTAGAACACACCTGTGTCTGGAGCATGCATGTGTCTGGAACACACATGTCTGGAGCATGCTTGTGTCTGGAACATGCCCTGGGAGCTAGGTGTGGAGACAGATGAGCAGAAAGGAGCAGTGCCCTTGTCCTTGCCGTGCCTGCCACCTCTGCTCCAGGCAGACGATATTACCCATGCAGGTCTGCAGAGTGGCCTGGTCACCAAGTGAGTTAGCTGCAGTTTTCTATGACTTTCTTTAAAAACTTCACCTGCTAAGGTGCCTTGCTCAGGTTGTGGTGGTGCGTGGCTGGGAAACACACCTGTCTGACAGCCACTCTTGGGGTCAGAGGTCGAATTTCTGCTCAAGCTGGGTCTCTTTTTGGGCAGCTGTCCTGGGGCCTTTTCTGTTTGGCCACTGTTTCTTGCGGATCCAGACAATTTTCATTTTCTCACTTCACTTTCTTTGGATCTGTTTTCCCATGTTTACAAAAGTATATTCAGTGTTGGAAGGTCAAGCACCAGCTTTTGGACAAGAAGGGCTGATGGTTTTATCTGTTTCCCTCCATTACTTCCTCAGGGTGTGACAAGAGTCTCAGGGTTAATCTGCACTTCACTGAGGTCAGAGGCTGACTTCTTATTTCTCTAGTCCAAAGACTTTCTGAAAGAGCAAATATTTCTGGGCTTGTGGCCTGATGACCTCTGTCTCACCCACTGTGGCCGTCATAGTACAAAAGTAGCCACAGATAAGACCAAGTGTCTGCTCGGTTTTTTGCTTATTTTTGTTTTTATGGATTTGTTTGAGTGGTAAGGGGTCTTTATTAGTATATATTTTATATATATACAAAATGTTTCTTTTCATCTTCTGTTGCTTCACGCATGACATCATTTTGTTACAAAGTTGATAAGAAAAAGTTCAGTTCCCCTCAAGGTCTACTATGTGGAGGTGGCACGTTCTACCGTGTGCGTGGATTTCACGTGTGTGGATTTTCTTTGGGTCCTGGGGTTTCCCCCATATCCTAAAGCTGTGCAAGTCAGGGTCATTGGTGTGTCTGATTTGCCCTAGTCTATGTGTGTGGCGATGTGAGCATGTTCGGCAATGCAGGCATCTTGTCCAGGCTGATACCTGCCCTGCGCCCTGAGCTGCTAGGATAGGCTCTGGCCACCCACAGCCCTGGAATAGAATGTCTGGGTATTTTACCTGCCTATATTAGCCCGTGTCTGATGTATATGTAGCTCACATCTATATCAGTGTTTAATATTAGCAGTGTTTTGGTCTTTACTTAGTTCAGTGATATTTTCGTGACTAGCAATGTGTGTAGGTACTTACCACTTGCTTTGATGAAACTGGTTTCAGTATATGCTGCCTCATAGTCTGCAGGAACTATCATAACCATTAAGTGAAGACACGATGTACTTGCTCTGGGTACCTGCTACTTTAGGCTTTATTTCTAGTGTGAATTTTTTCTTTTATTGCTAATTCTTCCCTGAGTTTAGTCACTTCTTTTCTGACATTTTCTGATTCTGTTCTTTGGAATCAGAACAGATTCTGTTCTGTCTTATATCATTTCCTTTTTGTCTTTAGTTTGTTTTAAAATAGTGGGCTATGGTGTGGGGCTGTTCTGTAGTCATGGCCTTCTTTGTCATAGGGATGCGCTTGTGCTCTTACCCCATGTCTTGTAAAAGCTATGGCAGATTTGACCTCAGTACTTTCATGTTGTTCATTTTCACCTGGAATTTGTTCTCTTGAATTTCTAGAAGGAAGCAAGATCAGGACAGCTTTTCAGACCTCAGGAACCTAAATTATGGCAGCCTTCTTTTGGGGATTTTCAGGTCCTATTACCTGCTCCCCTTCACCAGCTGTCTCTGCAATACAGACCCTGATCTGAAAGGGCCTGGAAGGGTCAGCTGTGAGGGGTCATGCAGTCGCCCCCACCCCTCCACACTGCACTGGACGCCTTGGTCTCACCCTCATAAGAGGGGTAGGGCTGTGGTTCCCAGGAGAACAGGATGCTTGCGGGTTCTCCTGTTCTCAGATCTGTGGGCTGCCTCACCATCAAGTGCAGCTTCATCCGCGCAGATGTGGACACCTTGTGTCCCAGCCTCAGATGTCTGGGATCTTGGGGCTTTCTTGTCACTGGGCTGCTGGAATATCATCCACGAGCTTCTGGTTTTGCTATCTAGTATTCCTGGCTCTACTAACATGGAAATTCTGGAAGATCTCAAAACTGTGCTGCTACTTGCCCTCTTCCCCAAATTCCTTTTCCTCATGCCCTGCAATGGATTCTGATTAGGATTATCTTGACACTTCATGGGTGCTCTTCCCCTGTCCTGGGCCTTGCTGAGAAGAATCTTCTGTTACTGTCATTATCTATAAACCGCTGCACTGGCTTGCTTCTGGTCTCTGGTGTTGTGTAGTTTGGCAGCAGTGTTTCTAAATGCAAGTTTACTTGTACTGTATATGTGGATTTGGGGAGCCAATGTATCTCTTCCCCTCTCTAGTTAGAAATGCAAAAAGAGACAGGAGTTGGGCAGTGCCTATGGCTCAGAGGAATAAGGCACTGGCCCCATATGCTGGAGGTGGTGGATTCAAACCCAGTCCTTGCCAAAAACC